TATTTTAGTACTTACTTTACATGAATACATTAAAACTGATACTTTTTTAAATACTTTGCAGGAGCAAATTAAATTTCAGAAATTTGTAGCTTCTTTAAAATAATGTTTTTATTTATTTGCTCTAATTACTACTTTAATTAAGTAATAATTGCGAAATTTGCTGGTTAAATAAACAGATTAAGAAATTGAAAGAAATTGAAAAATGAATGCAACATTCTATTTCAGTCTATTCTTATTCTAATTACATGAATATAACGCGTCTGCACGTGTAAGTTTGTCTTCGTTTACAAAGCTGTTTTGACGCACGTTGCATGAAAATGGGACCGATACAAAGTGGTCCCACGTCACTTAGCCAACTATTCTTCTCGAGTAGTCAACAGAAAGCTCGAGCGAAGAGACACAGAAGAGACAGAGAAATGCAAAGAGCTTCACTCTTCGACAGTTCGAAGACCCATGATGATTACAACCACTCGAACCAGGCAAATTATAGTACAAACATACTCTAGCTTTGAAAACTTTATTTGCGTGCTGATGCAGCGATTGCGAAAGTCAACGCAATGATTCAAATGAGATTTCGATGAGATTCACGCTTTGAGATGTCTTAACAAGATGCAAACTAATCTATCTCGCTAAATCTTATCATAGAAACCGTGTATTAATTTTTAACAATTCTATTCGAATTTTCTAAAGAAATAGATTAACATTTTCAAATAACATGCAAACTATGTGAAAAATTAAAGATCTTCATAGAAATGATCGATCGAAATAAGACGGGTAAAAATATATAAGAGATAATATCTAACATTTTTATCAAAATGAAATATACTTTAGAATCAGAAATATACTTTAGATCAGAATATTTTAATAAAATAAAATTTAGCGCATTACTACAATTTACAATAATAATATTTGCAACTTTATTAATAAATGCTCGATTGGAACGCGATTCATTTAATTTTTCGATTATGACGAGTGTACGTTTGATTATCTTTTTAGATAAGAAACGAAAGATCGCATTATTCAATTGGAAGATTTTCAAGGTTAAAGATGTAATTTTCTTCTCTGGAAAGATCGAGGAGAAAGGAAAGGATGTCTATTACGTATTACATGTGAAGAATGACCCATGAAAAATTCCATCAGGCTCCGTCGTGAGATCCACGCCTCGAGATGTTTACTACTGCATGGTAATTAGTAGCCTGATTAAGCCGATCATTTTCGTGAATTAACGTGCAACAACGTCATCTAATATCGCGAATACGCATAACACGTATTTATCTTGTTGCAATTGTAATCATAAATGCCACTTGCTTTGCGTAACGCACATTTATTTACGATATAAAATTTATACAAAAAAATTTATAAGCAACCCGACAGGATTTCTAAAAAAAACTATTAACGATACGGATTACAATTTCAATGAGTATTGAGAACGATCAATTACGATTCGATTTATTATTTGCGTCATACGCCTTTTTGCGGAAGAAACTTATTACATTAAAAAAAAATTTGCTATGGCTTTATTTTATATGGAGATAATTTCCAAGGTGAACAAAAACCACACTTTGTTCACTTACTCGTTTTATCGAAGTCGAAGATCGAAACTTTTGAGTCTTTCGAATCAACGAATTTTCTAGATTTATGTAGATTTGAGAATGAGAATTGCACGATTTTCGCGCTCTATTGCGTATGCTTTTTACGATTTGTGTTTCAAATACTCTCTCTGTGATTAATAATATACCAAATTTTTCGACATAATCGATATAACTACGTCACGTACATCGCGTGATAACGCGTGTGCCATTAATTAATGGGTCTATCCCAGACGCGAATCAGATGTTTGTTCATCATAGATCGTTTATTTGTCTTCAAACGTAAAAATATCGTATGATCTCAACAAGGCCTCAAGTTGATACTTGAATGTTTACTGCCTATGATTGCGTCTCATCACACAGCAAGATGTATTCTCGTGAAGATCTTTCTTCAAGGAATCATGCACGTGGCAATGATTCCTATATATTGACACTGTCTTGTTGAAGTTAGTTCGAAACACACGTAGCTTAAATGTTCTGTCTTCGTGTGCTTCTGGTGATCTTTCGGTCTTCAAACTGATTATTGTAAAAACATACAGTATACAAATCGTTTGTGTTTCGTTTCGCGCAATATTTGACGCGAGTTTGTGATCGAATTTGTCACGAAATATTTTTATCTTCAAAATGAGGAGAGCACAAAATTTTGAAACAAAAATGCAAAATGAGCAGAGCCGACATTTTAAATAATAACTGTCGTTATTGTTAAATAACTGTCGAGCCAACGATACGTCATGTGTGAGTTAGTATTTCTCAATTTTTATTAAAAAGAAGGAAGATAGCAAGTAATTTCAGTTGCAAGACTACGTCTCTAATTCGATTTTCCAGCCGGCTACCGCTGTTATTTCGTAATGCGCCGATTTTATTGGTCATCGAATCACGCGTGGACGTTAGAAACACGCCTACGATGACATGGCACGCGAGTGCAACGCGGAATGCCGCGTGTCGATATAGGATTTATCACTTGAACTTTAATCCGATGGTTAGCGCCGGAAGCCGACACTTCAGAAAGGGGCGAGGCGGTAATTGAAAATGTTGCAATCGAACCTGCTGAAAATGCAAACGGTCTAAGTCCGCCGAGAAACACAGTTCCGCAAATGATGTTAGACCTAATTGTAAGTATTATCTACACTGGCTCTAGCTCCAGGGTCACAGATTATCATCTATATAAAGCGAAAGAAACATGTACGTACAATCAAGCAATTAAATTCCCCGCTTAGATAACTTAAAATATATTGTAATTATAATTTTAGCTATATTTCTTACATATTTTTACGTATTTTTTTTTTTGCGAAATGATATTCATCAATTTTCTGCGAACATCCCATTCAGCAATATCCTTTTCTAGAATCTGAAAATCTATAGATAGGAACGATAACGAAGTAAAAAAAAAAACAAAAAAAAATGATAAAACTTATAATAAATTTTCGACATGCACATATCGCTAGGGAGAAACCTGCCGGAAATAACTGTCTTTTATTATTGAAGTCACTATTGAATACTAATGTATTCTTACGCGTTAGCCTCGATGATACGCGATTATGACGGAGTATCTAAAATCGCTGCGAGCGATAGCGGCCTTATTCGTTGACCCCATTATTCGCGATGCAATCGCTACTAATGAACAGTGTGCTATCGTTATACAAAATTCAGACTGCTTTTTAAAACACGAGATATCTCTGTAATTTTAGTGAAAACCAAGAGAAGTCGTTCTGTCAACCAATCTTCGATTATTATTAAAAAACGTATCTCATCGATAGATATCTCAGCACTTTTGATTTTGTCTTATCGCACGAAGAAATATATATATGTTGTCATCAATAACACCAGGTTAATTAAAAATATATGCAGCTATTGCATTACTACTGATAATGAATTAACAAGATTGTTTCGAATTATACTTTCAATTACATTTTTAATTATGCTTTCCGTACATTTTTTTCTGTGTATCGAATTATTTTTATCTTAACGAAGTATGAAGAGATACAAATTACAAATAAATCTCGAAGATATTTTATTTGCGTTATAACCGTTTTAATGTTCGAGTTAATGCTAGCTTGCAGTTTTTCATCTTCCAAATGTATGATCTGATGAAGAAATACTGAGGAGAGACTTTAAAGATTAAAATATAAATTATATTAGTCATAATATAAATTATATTATATAAAAAAAATATATATTCATGAAAGATTTTCTTTTTTATAATAACATTTTCTTAATGTTTAATCTTTAATGCATGTATATTACTCGTGTTTCAGAGTTCGCTGCTAGAAATAAAAATCTTGTAACTTTGCCTTCTGCCTAACCTTCTATTTTATCTTATAAAAGTTTAAACAACCTTAATCTATGAAAACGATAATAATTTGTAAGAAATATGATTTTTTTGTAGCTTCTGATTCTTTTCTACTTATACTTGAAAATGCGGATTACGGCAGACGAAAAAGCAACGAAAAGCAACTTCGCGAATCGCTAAGAGGTCAATCGGCGCATTAAATACCTATTGACCCTCGTAAGTTCGTTTATTGGTTTAATAGCTTGCATAGACAGAAGAACAAGTTTGAGCATGTCTTTACGCTTGTCAAGACTTTAAGACCGTTGGAAAAATATTTCACGAGTCACGCTTTCGACTAAAAAAAAAAAAACACATCTATTAATCCATTCATTAGCTGAAACGATACGTATAGTAATTGTACAAAACAAAATATAATCGTTTGATAAATAATATCACAAATATTAAGCAAAATTGCAGCGTAAATATTTTTCGCGTTAAGATACTTCTCGATAAGGTCCGCTATCATGTGTCTCACATGACATGCGTTTATTTTAAAAACTCATATCGTTTTGTTTTGAAATTCAGATTATCTGCGTTACAGGTCGACGTACCAGTTTTGACGGGCATTTAATACGGGCGTTTCTCTCGAATCGCATCTTTTCGCTGATTGCGCCAACGTAATTACAAATAACAAACGGATTAATCAAGTGGAATTTTTTTAGCGAGATACTCAGAGGCGGCGAGAAAAGTTTTAAGTCATTTGGATAAGACGAATCGATCTGTCGCATAAAAAATGAAAACATCACGGCGCTCCTTTGCAATTGTATAATTTATTCTTAAAACCGATTGCCTTTGTATCTTTCTGAGACGTTCCCTCGAGGCATAATATATTTAACATTATAAAAGGAATTTGCTTTGCACTTTGTTCGATTAAATATTCTCACCTCGAAGTACGTGAGATCTCTACTTCGAGGAAAAATAATAATTATAAATATTTTTTACAAAAAAATATACAACAATGCAATGTAATATAATAATGCAATATACTTTAATGTCGTGTAATTTAATATTTTCAATAAAATTAATTATATAGACTGAGATAATTGAATTTTCTTTCTCCTGAGAATATAAAGACGCAAAAATAGTATATAGGAATTAGAAAAATTATAAATTCTCGCATCAAATCTAGACATTCCCGTGAATATCTTTGAATCCCTGTGAATCCCCATGAAGAAATCCCATCCTTTTTGCAAAGAGATTACAAGCGATCCTATTTGATTACAAGCGATCCTATTTGAAAAGAAAAAAATATACAGTCTACGTCTCGCAAGGGAGAAACGAGAATATCCGGTTTCGATTCAAACATTAGAATATGCAAAACCAACGAATAAAAAATAGATTTTCGAACCGGTTTCCGAATTTTCGACATGCTAAGCTAAGAGAAAAAGACAAAAAAATAAAGCAGAGTGGACTGATACATAAAAATTCGATTATCGTTTAAATTTATTTTGGACCTCGCAATTCTCGTTAGATGAAAAAGAAATTTGTGGAATTTCTAAAACAACGTTAGGCCACGAGGTGCTGCCATCAGAAATTCATCGGCGACGTATTTTATTCATTTTTCAAAGTACGCTATTGTATTAATTAAACGATAAGTAAATTCGTCTCGTTTACATCGCATGTGGCGCACTCGATTAAATTACTTTGTACGTCATGTGCGCGAGTTAACGTCACTGTAATTATGATTAATTAACCTGTTGCGTCATTGAAACGAGACACACTTATGACGCTTAGACGATGCAGGTAATACGGAGTCATGTTTTTTAATCGGCTTTTTAATTGATCAACATGACTCGATTATGTCAAAGTCGAAACTAGAAGCACGTAGCGAGAAGAAGATGAGATTAATATCCTGTCGAGTATCAATTGATTTTTTGCCAGCTGCCTGATTGATTCTATAGGATATTAATTTCACATCTCTCATAGAAGTCTCTCTCATAACCCAAGTAAAGAATCGAAGATTTTCGAGTGGTGTATTTTTTACAAAATATCTCTGCAAGTACGTATTGCATATAATTAAAATTTTATTGAATCAGAATCTTACAGTTCAATTGGAAATAAAATTTTATAAATTTAATGTATATTTATGGAAATAAATTATTACCAAGAGGTTATTTCTCTCTTAATCGCTCATTCAAGAAATTACTAAGAAACCATTCATTTTCGCTAATTCAAAAAGAAAACTTTTTGAATTCTATGCTTTTTTTCTTTTCGTTTAATTCTCAATACGAGAAGGTCTCAATTCTCAAGGTCTCAGCATTTTGTATACTCGAGCCAACCGAGCTACTCTCTACTAATTACTTAATTATCATTATTTATTTTCTTCTGGCTATTCCGCGAATACAAAAATGCAAGTAACGTTGCACGTGATATCTGCCCCCGACGGACGTATATCGCTAGAAAGTCGTTGAATCGAAATTCAAGGCTAATCGTGACACACGGGCACGCTAGATAAGTTGAACCAGGGTGTAAGTGTTGATAAGAAAGAGAAAGAATGAGGAAAAAAGATGTTTTATGCACGTGCATTAGCTAAATACCATAAAAACATATATATATATATATATCTAGCTCGCATTTGCGCGATTAATATTGAAAAAAAAATAGCAATTACATACTAATGCAATTAAAATGCATTAAAATAGACTTTGCATGAAATATATACAAGAAACGTAAGCGACATATCTCGATGCATTTAAAATAATAAGAAAGTACAAAAAATTATTTTTTACTTCGTATCACACAAATGCCATTGCGATATTGCGTCATCATTTATATACTTAAAAAGAGAAAAAAATGGTAGAAAAAAAGATAAACAAAATGACATCGGAAGAAAAAATAGTTGTTCTTCGAAAGAGAATTATGTATTATAGAAAAATTTGTTTTTGTCGATGGTCTCACTGAGACGCGGAATTTATGATCAATACGCAATGATATTACCGTGAAATCTACGAATTAGAGATACGATTTGCATCGCGTGGAATACATGGTGAAAACATTATTTTGCCGACAGCGATGTGATATATAATCGCCGTTTAAGCGCAATTCCAATGTTTGCAATAAAATCGACCGGCAGAATATTTATGTTATTAAGCGCAAAAAATACAGTATTGAAGAATTAGTTGTCAAATCATATTTATTCAGTTATTATTATTATTATCTATGCTTAAAAAAAATTAATTATTAACAGTTACAATATGGTTAACAAATGAGACAATGCTTCAGGAATCAATGTTTTCTTGATAACGATAAATTGAATCAAAGCTTGGATATGTCATCTGAAATAACGTGTCTGCGATTTCGCAAAATATCAAGTGAATGCTCTTCCTCGAAAAATATGCTGATTGAGTTTGATAAGAGAGATATCGAGATCGATTATTAAAAGAAATCAATGAATGTGTCTATATTATTACTTTAACAAATAACATTACACTTTGAAGTTTTACAGATTTCACATTAATTGATTTCATCACTGTCAAGTATAAGATATATAATAAATATTTGACGAAAATGTTAACGTTCTCATAAAATTCTGAAAACATAGAAAAGTGAAATATCTCGTTAACTCTCATAAAGATTAAATTTTTTTATACTTTTGATATGTTATATTATTATAATACAATTTATTTTCCTTATTTTGCTTTTTAATTTATAAATATTCTATATGTTACTTCTATATATTATTTTCTATACTTTTTCCATCGTCAGATAATGTCGTGAGATATGTAATTTGACGAATGCTTGCTGATCAATTAAATTGGAATCGAGATTGAGAGAGAAGAAAACTGAGGCAAAGAGATAAGATAATCAATTTGCATCTTATAACTAATTTGTGATTGATTACTTTAATAACAAACGTTTTAGCAGAGATTGGCAACATATTTAACTAACCAATATTATTAATTATATAATAATGTAATTATGTAATAATAGATGGGAGATGAAAATTTTTTGTGTGTTTTATATGTTATCAGCGATCTCGTTATCTCTCTGTTTATAATTCACGCACAGCAATGAAATTCTTGTCGAAGCACGGAATTAACATAATTTAAAATTCTGCAATCTGCCGTGAGGGGCTAATGATATTATTGAACCGAATGTCGCGATAGGGTCACAAGTGCAAGTGCACCGCGAGTACTTGCAACCTTCAGTTTAATCTAATGTTGCAACGGTCGGAGTCGCCTATCATAAATCGCCTGTCCGAACGTCGTTCTTCTTTTTATCGAAGACACAGACATAACATGATATTTTTCACGTCTGTTCTTACGGTGTGTCGAACAGCAATTTTCTTTTCCTTTTTCTTCGACTATTTCGATCATGCATGATGTGTTTATCATTATCATATTGCCCGTATGTCATTAAAATGTAATCTTTATTAACATGCAATTTTATTTACCTTCTATAACTTTATTATATCTTACAATTGGTAACTCTATTTCAAAGCGAAATTTCTGTTGGAATCAATTCTATATTGGCATACCTAATATTATTTAACAATAATATTAAAACTTGTTTGTTTTTCTACAAAACAAACTTTTGTTTAATACTTGTTTGTTGTATGATTTTAAACAAAAATAAACTAAATTTTTAATTTAAGCAAAATTAAATTCTAAATCGTACTTCTCTCTAATATTTCGATTTTTAGTTCTAGTCAGTTTCACCGATTCAATAAGCATACATTCGAGTCATATTTCTTTTTTGGATATTAACTGACCAATGAAAAATACGATAAAATAGCATATACAAATATATAAAAAGGTTTAATAAAAGGAAAAAGTTATATCACTAAAAAAATATTATCAAAATATTTTATAAAAATTAATCTTTCTTTTCAAATAGAAAACGTCGATTAAATCAAGATTATATAAAATATTTGCAAACATAAAATTATCGTTAATCAAGACGCAACAATTTTTGGTTACTTTGTTCTGCAAGTTATAACTTAAAAAAATTAAGAAAAAGATTAACAAATATTATAGATCGAGAAGAGCCACAAAGACTCACCATGACGCGGGCTGTCGAGAGTAAATAATTTTATTGACAATATGCATAAACGATCGCAATTACGTGACGTAAGAAATGACAGTCATAGCTTTTGTTAGGAACAACAGAATGTAATAACTACTCGGCAGGCATGATCTTAAGTGTCTAATAATCTCCTTTTAATATTTTAAATTTATTTAAATATTAATTTAAGATAATTGCTCATGTTGCCAATCATGTGTTGTTATTTTTAACTTGATGATTTTTAACTTGACGGCTCAAAGTCA